GCTTGTGCAGAAAGTAATAATGAAAAGTAATCTCAGAAAATTGTATCGATTTTCTCCTCACGAGATGGAGTGTTTGAAAATTCACCTCTTGATAAAGGCGCAGGGCTGATGGAAGGTTTTCTGGTAGTTGCTCTGCGTAACAGCAGAGGGAGCACTTACAGCAGGCAAGGGAAGACTCCTCTTGGCTCTGTATGAACTGTGCGAACACTGAGCATCACAAACAGTGCTGAGAAGGATCTTACCGCCAAATATCAGTTGTTTTTACGTTTAATGTGTCCGTGTCGGATTGTGTTTTGTTTAAAGTGAAGTGCCAGTGCAGAGGAAAGCTGTGGAATGGTGTGGAAATGGCCGGCATTTCCCTTTCTGTCCTCAGCTTCGGTGCCTCGAGTGCGTCCTTAGTGAAGTACTGGAGGGACAGGCTGCGCAAGGCGCGGTCTTTTGGGGGCTTTCCCTGCTAAGCCATCACTGCAGTCATGGTACAAGCAAGGTTATCGAGATAATCTAACAAATCCTGCCAAAACACAACAGAGGTAGGCTTTGGTTACACGTGTGCACCTGCTCCTTGCATTGCTGTGGGAACTGTCTGGTTTGAGGAGCACATTTCACTGTGAGGGCCAGCACGAGAGCTTGGCCTAGAGGGATTGTCAGGAGAGGGATACTTCAGTCTCAGGGAAGGGAAGATGCCTGGCTGCAGTCACACACCAGCACATTCCCTGGGTTGGCAGAGCCTCCTTTTAGCTCTCAGCCCACAGCCAGTATCAACAGGAAGAACACTGCATGTCATTTGCTGTTGTCGCTGTGCTGCGTGTTCCCAGAGAGCAGATAGCTCTGTAATTAAGCTAGATGTAGCTACTGCTGTTTTGTTTCAGTTTTAACACATTTTGGCTCTCTTTAAAAGCTGCTGGGCCACATTTATTATATGGATAAATCTGCAGGGTTAGGATTCACCAGAGAATGTCAGTTAAAAGAGAAGAATTTTAAGTCTGTGGGTACTTTATTGTGTGAATGAGGAACAAGGAAAGGTATGC